CTTATATCAAACATAATTTGTTACTATATTTTAAATCAAGTTCATATTTATTTTAACATTATATTAGTTACTTACTTTTGGGTCATTATTAAAGCAAAAGTAAGACTCCCACAAACTTTGATTTGCTCAGTATGTACCTTTCAGAGGTTTTTTTTCGTATCTGAGTACTAAAAATATTTAAATTTAGTTAATTTAAATGATGTTTTTACCAATGCCAGAGGCCCTTCAAAATGCATTATGTTTCTGTCCCTGTTTGAATAGCTTCATGTGTTTTATTCAGAATGCTCAGCTACTTAATGAGCATAGGACCTCAAATGCCATTTGGAAATATGAAACCTTTATCTTTTAACTCAGTTTTGCTTTCATGCATAACATGACTCTAAAACCACAGTTGTGATATTTATTAGCTGTCTTTGCAAAACTGCGGGCAATACATCTTTCACATTTCATTGAGAAGAAAAGAAACTTAATCCCATCAGGATCTCCATTATTAGTTCTTCCTCTTGATTTTTCCCTGTGGGGATTTTGTGCTGGCCAGATGGTGCTCTGAAGAATCCCTAGACAGATCTACATTTTACAAAGGCAAACTGGAAAAGCAAAAATCTATTTTTGAGTAAGGGGATTAAATCTTAGATCTTGTCATCCGGCTCACTATGTCCAAACTAGTCATTATTTGGTTCATATTCAATTCTGTACAATTATTCTCTTACTCACATAGCAGTTTACCTTCATTTTCAGTAAAGTCCTGCTTTTAGTTTGTTCCATTAGTAACAGTAATTAGCCACTCAATTGTACCCTCTATTCCCTTGAATTCTACCAGTTCTAAAGAGTACTCTACAAAACACTGGATTCTTTCTTCCAGGGAACGTCAGTTAAATTTCATCAGCAGCAAAAATTGAAATATCCCTTTCCATATTCATCACAGAATGTTTATTTTCCATGGAGAGGAGTAGCTGAATGAAACGTTTGAAAATCAGTTTGACGAGAAACTGTTTACTTCTTGAATTGGCCCAATTCTCATTTTCCAACAGTGACGTTTCTAATCTTCAGGTGGTTACCCTCATGATCAAAAAGGTCAAAAATGGAGAAATAATTCCAGGATCACATATTCTATGATAAATGGTACTAAATAGTGTAACATCTCAAAGCATTCATTCCAAATCTTTTTTGCATGGAATAAATAAAAATAATCTTCATTTGATACCTTCTCACCTTTGTCCCTTGTCTTAGTGGTGTCTAAAGATGTGTCCTTTCTCTATAAAACCAGCTTTCTTATTTCCAGAAAATTATTGAATTATTTTGTTTTAGTTTTGTTAAGGCATGTCCAATACAAGTATGTAATCTACCAATAAAAGTATGTAAAAGTAAGGGCCTATCTTTTGTCTTACCTACTTATTCATGTGTTACATTCAAAGTTTAACATTCCCTCTCTAGTAACACTGAACAACATGGGTTTTCCCAAACTGAGCAGTTCCTTTCTTACATCTTTGTCTTTCTAAGCGAAGAGTCTCTCTGTCTGGAATGTACTTCTCTTTCCTCACTTCCATTGATGTAAATGTGTACTCTTCCTTCAAAACTACATTCAAATTTCGTGTTTATGAGGCTTTCTCTGAACATCTCTTTCTACACACACACACACACACACACACACACACACACACATACACACAGAGACTTAGTTGTTTTCTCTCTTCCCAGCCCTTCAATAACACTTTATAGATTAGTTCATTGAATTAGAATTATTTGTCTACACTCTCTTCTCTTATTAGATTGGGAGATCCTAGAGGTCAATGTACATCATTTATTCATCTTTGGATTCTAGGACCCAGCTCAGTACTGCCATGGTAATAGGCACTAAATACGTATTTGTGAATAATTGATTGAATAGTATATGCTGACTTTTGTAAAAATTATTCTTAAATTCTGGAAAATAATACTGTTATTTTTCTATATTGAAGTCAACATCTATGACCATAATGATCAAATGTAGGTATGCTATTTTAAATAGACTTATTATGTCAAATAGACTTATTGTGGTGATCATTTTGCAATATATACAAATATCAAATCATTGTGTTGTACACCTAAAACTAACATAACGTTATATGTCAATTATGTCTCAATTTAAAAAAAGTAGATACGCTATTTTAAAAGTTTCATTTTTAAAGTTTTTCATGAGACACAAGTAAATTTTAAAGTTCCTAACTGAAAATAGAAAAAAAGGGGTGGAGGGGTAGAATCTGAATTTATATGCCAAAAATAACTCATATTTAGAATATAAAATTTCTAAAAAGGAGTGACCTGAGTAAAATAAGACTTTTCTTCGACTAAAAGGTAAATTGAAAAGGAGTGATCTCTTTAAAAATGAATCTTAATGGTCAATGTGCAAAAGAAAATGGAGAGTTGAAGTAAACAGAACTAAGGGCTTAATATCTCTACTCTGATTATTTTAGAGGATGAGTAAGGAGAGGCCCCAGCAAGGAGGATCAAGCATACCTTACCTTATCAATTTACGAACAGTCTAGAATGACCCAAATTCAATTTTATACTCTTTTTGGCTCATTTTAAACTGAGCCAAGACATTTTCTACTTTGCAAACAAACAAAAATAGAAACCAACATAAAACCAATTTGTAAAATTATTCATTTAGGATATATGACATTCCATTGTGTTTACTGCTTTTTCCATTACTTCTCTGATAACCACGACGATTTAATTTTCTGTTAAGATGATTAAAATGATTTTACTAAGAATGTGCCTGGATGATTGGAAGAGAGGAACCGGGTTTATGAGTTCCAAAATAGCGATCTTTGAAAACACGTGCATGAAAGAACTTTTGTAAGCATTCTTGGAATGATTGTTTTCTCTCTACACCCCCCACCCCAACTTAAAAAAAAGCGTTGGGTGGAGTTGAGAACGCTTTTCAAATCTTAAACAATAAGTGGAAATCCTGAAAATGTATTCTCCTTTATCCAGTGGGGAAAACACTTTAAAGCCCTTTTTTTCCCTAAGAATTGTTTAGCTAGAAATTTACTTAGTGGTTTCTATTTTGAACCAAAAATTCAGTTTTAACTGCCTGAAATATAATGCCATCTGTGTTTATTTCCGCCCCCCACAAAACAAAATTCTTTTTTTCAAACATAACAAGTACATGGCCCTAATAACCCAGATAAATACATCAACTCAATTAATTCTTTAACCAAGTGATGAAATCAGTTAAAAGACAGAATATGTACCATAAAAATGTGAATCTGAGTGCAAATATAAAACATATAAAGCACATCTGTAAATTTAAAATTTTTAAGTATTCTGATTAATAAGTCATTATGCCTTCTATATATATTTACCAGGGTGGAGGTAGCTATGAGGTGAGAAATAGGGGCACAACACACACCACGATGTAGGTAGTGGGCAGAGAAATGGGCCAGGAGCCAGAGGACGAAAGAATCACAGAATAATCACACCAACCTCGGGTTCCTCAAATCTATATCACGTGGGGGGCCTGCTCACACATCTGCCTGGAACAGCAGCATCTGGCATGTGGAGACTACTCGAAAGTAATATTTGAATTTAGTATTAATGTATTTTAAATGACTTTAAAAGTGTGAAGTGATATACAAATGTGAAACATCATTATGTATTTATATTTCTGGTATTCTGAGCTGATTAATTTCTGTAAGTATCATTCTGGCTGTTCTCTAATGTAAGAAGGGGACTTAATCTCTTTTCCACCAAGTCTTTCATGAGAAAAAAATTCAAACATTTTATGTAGAGTTTACTTGCATTTCAAAGAATGCTTAGAAGTTCCATTCAACAATCTTTATTACCAGCCTGATATTTCTTACACAGCAAAGTTAGTCTTCAAGACTATCCTGAAGTATGATTCTTTTTGGCCTTATTCAGAGAGAATGATCTCTAATATCAGCCCCAAGTTTGATTCTAGAAAGTTCATGTGGTGCCAGGTTTTCTATTCTCAGGAAATGGAGGATGGGTTATAAGCCATCTCCATGGACATATCCCTAAAATAGCCAGGCAGGCATCCCTTGGTGCCTGATCTTTCCTGGTTCCACTTTAGCCTTCATAGGGTACAAGTCAAGCCACAACAGAACAGCTCACAAGTCATCCTGATATTCACTTGAAAAATAAAAACTACAGAGGACAGAGGCTAGACTCTTGCCTCTATCTAAAAGCCGTGGGTGATTTTGACTCAGGAAATTCTTATGTTCCTAATTCTCTACCTTTTATTTCTCAACTTGAAGGCCTGTGTAGAGGAACTGAGAGTTGCACACTTTTCCAACACACAACCCTGAAGGCAGTTCCTGCTTCTCCATTTCTCTTTGCCCACAAGCATCTCTAAAATAAACTCTTAATTTGTTACGGAGAAATGCTTAACACAGTCTATGTGTGTCTGTTTCACTGATTCTTGTAGTTAGTTATCACTTCACATTGTTGATGCCTAGCCTTCCTTGGGCTTGAAATCTGTTTCCTGAAGTTGCTTTATATGAATTATGTAGAAAATTGACATTTCATATATCAACGTTTTTTTTATCTATAATATCTCTTTTCCCTGATATCTACTGGATGAGTTAGACAAATACACGGATGGCAAAATAAACTGGCTATAATTAAATGACAAATTCTAACTTACAAATCCTTCAACAAAGCAGACAAAAACTTAACTCAGAATATTAAAAAAAGATCAATAATATGAATATTGTCTAGTTAAAACGTTATTATAGTACATAAAATTAATCAATAAAAGAATACTCCTTTTAACTCCCTTCTAATAAAGGCAATTTATTTTGTATACTAATTTATACATTTTGTCAAATAACATAACACACGAAATAGTGATGGGTGTTTAGTATCTCCAGTAAAGATTTTATGTCAACAACCCATCTTAAAACTTCTTTCCCATACTTATAACTTAGTACTTTTTGAAAACATAACTGGACAAGTGAAAGAGAGTGTCAATATTGCCAAATTTGACCAATACTCACGAAAGGATATTCCCAATATAGGCATAGTAGGAGCAACAGTAGGGTGTGGTCCCATCACAGCAGTAAGATCTACACTCTTTTCCACACTGAGCAAGGCAATCGTCTACAAAATAAAAACCACATATGCGTGGTTAGAGTTCTGAAATCACAGCTTCAGGAAAAATTCTTCTACTTCATATCTTGATTGGTCACTGACTACCCTTCAGTGCATTTATGTTTTCATTTTATGTATTTAGAATTCTAAAACGTTTGTAAGCATCTAAACTAGTCTTTCTTCCCCATTAGACATAAATCCAGAAAAGACAAAGACCATTCTTCTTGGAATCTCCTGCGTCAAGCAAACCGTAATTGGTAGTCAGAGTTGGTTGAATGAGATAATGAAGGGAGGAATGAATGAATGATCCAACTAATCAGTCATTCAATTTGTCAACAGAGTTCTTATAATAATTCTTAAATGATAAAGTCTTTTGACTTTAGCATATTACTCCCAATTGACTTCATTTCATGGAAAGCATTATTGGCATGGATAATGTCACATAGAAATAATTAATTTTTAAATAATGTATATTTTTCATGACAATGCATTTTGTGCTTTTCTTTCTCTACCATTTTTTACCTTCATAATTACAGTTTGCACACATATGGTAACACAAATGAGTCTGCATATTCTGTGAATCCATTTGGATTGGAGGATAATCAGTTAGTTGCAGGAAGAAGTTCCCAAAGATAATTAACTTGTGAATAATTCAGAGTTTATTTAACGTCAGCTTGAAGAATCAATCTGCTATGAAACAGCACTGTGTGAAGATGGAAAGGTATTTTCTGATTTAAAAGGACATGTTGGAGCTGACAAAACCAAATTACTGTCTTTTTTCCATATGTTTTTGGCAGGGAAAATTATACCAAAAATGATGAATAAAAATTACCCTACCTTTAAAAAATTCTTTATTCCACCTAAATGATTTATATTTATTAAGTTAAGGTTATCATTTAATTATAAGCCCTGGTATAAATTATAACATATATGTGAGCTTCAGGTACTTGATTAGGAAAACATTAAGTATAATATGATAATTTAAGTTACATGGTCAAGAATCACAAAGTCACTTTCAACTCAATCTTGGGGCTGGCCCCGTGGCATGTGCTCCGCTGCTGGCTGCCCGGGTTCGGATCCCGGGCGCGCACCAATGCACTGCTTGTCAAGCCATGCTGTGGCGGCAGCCCATATAAAGTGGAGGAAGAGGGGCACAGATGTTAGCCCAGCGCCAGTCTTCCTTAGCAAACAAGTGGAGAATTGGCATGGATGTTAGCTCATGGCTGATCTCCCTCACAAAAAAAAAAAAAAAGAAAAAAAAAATTAACCCAACTCAATCTCTGAAGGTAATAACTATTGTCTAAATTATACAAGACTTTTACTTTCCTGTCAAAGTCATAACATAAAAGCGTTAAGATGTTACATTTATGTCTACATGTCCATGTAATTGATTTATCTAAAAAGGAAAATTTAGATTTTGCTTTTAAATCACCTCCCTGCCAAGATGATTGTTTACAAAGGGATGTGATCAAAAGTAGCAAAGTTCATTGACCTTTATCAATAATGCATGGCTTTTGTAGAGCAAGTAAAGAAATTCATATTTTCTTTCCCTCAATTTTATTTCTACCTTATACATGAACAAACCTTGATGTTTTCCTCTGGGATGCAGTTAAGAAGAAATGAGGGGGGAAAAAGAACTACCTTTGTAAGATTCAATAACTCTACTTAAATCCACGTTTAAATTTTGAAGACAGAAACACAATCTAATTATTTATTGATGGTGTATGCTTTTTGCAGAGTACATCATCCTTTTTAAGGCTATTGATTTTACCATTTTCCCAATGAATTTCTATAGCTCTCATTTTTAGTGATATTTAATTAATTCAAATATTTAGACTGGTCAGTTCTCTCAAGGGCTTACCAGGGATGTTTTGCTTTATGCTCTTCAAAGCCATTCAGATAGTGAGAGAGCTAAGGTCCATACTTACACTGTCGGAGCAAGACAACCGATGTGTAAGTAGCTTCATGGGGTGCCTTTTGACTGATGCCCAGGACAATGACATCTTATTAAGCTCTCCATGAATACCAAAGATACAATTACTACTTGTACTCCAATTACCGCCATTATAAGGACATAGTGTTATCAAAATATTTTGAGCCAATGTTCCAGGAAACCAAGCCCACAATCTTCTAGCCAAGAAGCTGGGTTATACCTGCAACAAACATCTAGATCATGTCACACACTGTTCATTATTTTAATGGCATTTTCCAGCACTCCTGTCTACTACCCAGAATTAAACAAACGAAAAAAGCAGGTGTAATAGTATGGCAAATCCATTCACAATCATGCCATTTCCAAACTGAGGTTTCAACCACACCTCAAAACCTATTATGACATGTTAGTTGCTTTCACCAGTTTATTTGAGAATAATTCTATGAAGATCAGAGTTTGGATGATACAGGAGCATTTTCTCACTTGTAAAAGAAAGGAACATTGCAATTGCCTTCAGAAGATGAATAATATTACTCCTCATACTCAAATTAATATCCTTGAACATTAGCCAGTTCAAACTTTCTTTGATGACTTTAATTCAAGGCATGATCTGGAAGAAGGTCTCCTACGCCCACTCCACCTTAAGGAATGTGGAGCACAGGAAAAGCAAAATCTGGCTCTAAGCACTTGCTCAGAAATAGTTCTTGTAAGCTATAGCTAAGGATAAGAAAGGAAGGAAAGGGAGGGGACAGAAGTCACTAGCTGAGGCCGGGAAGGTAAAATCTTGGCCAAATCCTGTCTTTGTAGCCTGCTATGGGAATTGCATAAAAATATAAACACTTCATTGGGTCTCTTTCCAAAAGTGATTCCATAGTAAAACATGACGTTTCAAGTGTAGAATCCTTGCTCTTATTTCCTTAACGAATGGAACGTGTGTTTAATGCATTTTCTTTGGGGGAATAATTTAGATTATGGATAGTGCATCTACTTAGGTTTTTGTCCCATTAAAACCGGCAATTCGTTTAACAAGGGGTCTGAACTATTTTTGTTTCTGCAGTGTCCCCCATCTCAACTGATCCTCACTTCCAGCAGTATCTCTTAGTTCCAACCAAATTGACTTATCTATTTTTGCATACACACATCTCCTGATTTTTACCTTTGTTCACACTATATCCTACACCATCTCCTATGTCCATGGCTTCTCTATCCATCAAAGGTCTAGCTCCTAAAAGTCCTCCTCAATTCGATTTCTCTGAGCAAATATTTATTGAGTTCCTCTTACGGGCCAGGAGTTTTGCTAGTCTCTGAGAATATTATGATGATCTAAGCAGACATCACTTTCATGGAGCTTACACTCCTAAGCCAGCAATAAGGTCCCCTCCTTTGAACACCTATAGCATATGATTGTACCTCTCCTATGACACAGCCTTTTACGCGTTAAAGTAACGGGCACACTTCATCTCCCAGCAAGACTCAGAGCATGGCCTCTGTCCTATGTAGTATTCAACATATCTCACTCAATAAATATTAGTTGAATAAATACGGCAAGCATAACAAGTCCTGTGAAATAAAGAGTTCAGGAATTAACACCAAAGAACACATTAGCTAAACGTTTCTTATCAAAGACAATAAGTCAACCTAGTATTATTGGCTTGTGATTACTTTGTAGCTCGTTAGGTAGGGATGCAGAAGGAGAGAAGAAATGCAGGAAAACTCTCTAAACTAACTAACTTTGCTGCTGGCCAGCTTTGTGGGGTTTCCTGAACCCTGGGGGTTGTGTCCTTACCCTTGGGGGAACCGGAGGAAGGGAAGGAAAAGTGTGCCAATAACAAGCTTTCAGTTTACCATTAAAAATAGACAAAAGAATAAGAAAAAGTTGTTCAACGGTGTGATTGAGTAAGGGCAAGTGCAGGTTTTACAGTTTCATTTGCTATGTTCTATTTTCTTATTTGTGTTTTCTTTTGATAAACAGAGGAGGTGGAAAGAATTATCATGACTTCAAATGAACTAATAAAGAGATTTTAATATAAAACTAATATTAATGGAATTAATTCTTAGTTCCTCAAATTCTGAAAATCTTATATGATTTAAGTAAAAGAAATGTGTTATAAATAGATTACAATGTGCATTCTCCTCATTAAATAGGAAGTATTTTCCTACTTTTGTGAATTTCTGTATTTGAAAGTCAGCATTTTCCCTGCAGTAAAATAACTGATAGACAGCCACTAATTTGCATTTTAATAAACAGAAAATTGCTCTAGAAGTTGTTGTAACTCATTTCCGACAAGGTCGAATCAGAAATTCAATTCTTTTGATGTTCAGGTAAGATGCTGCAGAACATCTTCATTTCAGTTGCAGTACCTTTTTAAGTACCAAAGGGTAAATCACAGTGCTATGCATAAATTTAGTATTGCAAGGTCATGGGCAAGTCTGTGGATTTTGTCATAGGAAATTAGAGATATGAAAACATTTATAAAGAACTTTGCTTTTAGTTTGTTCCTTGAATAGGAAGCAGATGCAAAACCACATGTGTAATTAACTTTATACATGAATAACCAATGAAAGGTCATTTTGGGCTCCTTATCAATCACAAAACAAGAAAATTGCTTTGCTTTATCAATTATTAGTAATTCTCACTAAGAAGAAATAGGAGAAGGGAAATGAGATGCCCTTTACCTATGAACAAGTGCTTAACGAAAGCAACCAACACAGATTAGATTCTGGGTGAATTTACGCCTCTCAAAAAACCTTATATTTGAACTCAAAGCATCCGGTTGCCCAGTCTACCACACTTGAGAATCATCTAAAGAATAAAAACAAAGGTCTAAGGCTTTTTATTTCTAAAAGGGAAAACCTGGAATATTCAGAACGTGGAGGTGAAGGGGCAGTGAGTAGTCTACACTGAAATGAAAAAGCCACCACATTAGTTTAAGATTTAAGCAACACCTCTAAACTTCAGGTGCTATAAAAAAGTCCTTTCAACCCACCCCACAGCCTCTGCTCTCACCCCCCCCCCCCGATTCCTCCTGAGTCGTGGTTACACTTGAATACATTTTACGCTCTCCAGAGAGTAAAATCCCTTAAACCTGAGACTGGGTTTTCCAAGTTGCTTTGCGGAGAGAGAGAAAGAACAAGAAAAGAAAGGAAAAAAAGAAAAGTTAAAGGAAAGGAACAGAATAAAACAAAACAAAACCGCGCGGAGATGAGCCGGGGGTCCCAGCGCGCGGGCTCCGCGCCTGCCCGGTGGGGACCACACAGTCTTCGCCCTCCCACAGAGGTCCCCGTGCGTCCCGCCCAACCCGGGTTGCCCGAAGTGTGACCCAAGCGCAGCCCCAAGTCCCCTTCCCCTCTCCCGCCGCCCTATGTCACTGACCTGCGTAGACAAAGAGCAAGACCAACTTCGGAAGCAAGACCACTGGACACCCGAGCAGCCTGCGCGCGTCCATCCAAGCCGGTGGCCGGAGGTTGCGCGCCGGGACAGACCGACAGACAGACTGGAGAGAGCGCTGGGAGCGAAAGGGGAGCCCGGAACGGGGAGGGGATGGAGGGGCTGGAGGGCGGTCAGATGCACAGGGAAGCGCTCCCGCGAGGGGGGTCGCCCGGAGACCTGGCCATTGCCTTGAGCCTTCGAGGGGAGCCCGGGCGGCCCGCGCCGGGCCGCGCTGGGGCCGAGGTCTCTTTGTGTCTCCCGGTGGCGCTTGGGCAGCGGGCGAGGGAGCAGCTCCGGCGTCCTCGGCGACCCCGGCTCACATTTCATCTCCGCGGGTGGCACTGACGCGGGGGCGGGGGTTGTCGGACTCCTCCCCACGCTCCCATTCTTCCTGCTACAGAGTGACTCCGGGAGCGAGTCCCTCTCCTGAAGGAACTTACCATAACCCTTTGCTCTGGCTATTGCCATGGAGTTTAGCAAGCTCCTTTTTGGCCCTTCCATCCTGTCCCAATTTTTCCATTCGAAGCAATGGCTGGAGAAGAACTTTGCTTTTTATCTTTAAACAAATGGAGGGAATTTTCAGGGTTGAAGTTATTGGACCAAGAAAGTCAGTGAAGAAAAGCCAGGAGGACTGGAAAGTTCAGAAACAGCATATGGTATCTCTTCTAAAAGTTGATAAAATGTTTATTTGTTAAATATCTAAAGCATTTCCAGTGAAGTCAGGGAAAACAGAACAAGACGCAAGCTGTCATCACTGTTATTGAGACTTCTGGAGTTGTTGGCCTATGCAATTAGACAAGAGAAAGAAAAAAGAAGTATAAAAATTGGAAGCAAAATTATCATTTGCAAATGATATGCTTGTATACTTGGAAAATCAAAGAGAATCAATTGTAAAGCTCTTAACTAGAGTTGAGGGATTAAGTTTTCTTTGGTGCAAATAAAAACCAGTTTTTATGCATGAAGGAAAAAAAAAAGGACATGAATAAGTGAATGAATAGAGACATGTCTCTTGACTAAGGAAACTCAACATAATAAAGATAATGTTTCCCTAAATTAATCTGTAAATCTGAGAATTAAGCTGAATTCAATAAAAATATGAACATGAATTGTTTTTAAACCAATCTGATTCTAAAGTTTACATAGAAAATACATATATAAGGATATCTATTAATAAATGAGAGTGATGAATAGGATAAGCCTCAACAGATAATAAATATATTGTAAAATCACAATAATTAAAACAGTTTTGATTAACACTAGACTAGAGAGGCTCAATGGAACAGAATAGAGAATCCAAAAATAGAGAGATGTATGTACAGAAATTTAATTTATGGTAAAAATAAAAGTATCATTTTAAAGCAAAGGGGGAAATTATGAGTTATTCGGTGAGTTATGTTGGGGCCATAAGTAGGCTTCTGTGAATTCTTATCTCCTTTCATCAAAATCAATTCCATATGAAAAATATTTAAGCTTAAAGATGCAATTATGAAAATATTAGATAGAAGAAGGAGAGGATGACATTTAAGTAATTATGGAATAGAGGAGGCTTTTCTAAGCATTATAAAAAAATTCAGAAACCATAAAAGAAAAAACTGAGAAACTTGACTACATAAGAATTAAAACTTTTTGTATATGACAAGCCAAGAATTTAACTGACAAAAATATTTGCAATGCATAGAATTGACAAAGTCCTGATCTCCTTAATATATAAGAAGCTTTTAAAAAATCAATAAGGAAAAGAAAAGAACCAATAGAAAACTGAGCAAGGAGATTAACAGACATATATATATATATATATGTCTTCTAGTCTTCTAAATGTTAAGAAGATGCTTATCCTTACTCATCAAAGAAGAAAAAAAGTAAAAATCAAATTGACAGTGAGACATCCTTTTTCATGTATTAGGTCAATGCCCCCAAAAAAATCCACTTTTAAGGAGAGCAATGTGGCAATATATTTCAAAATTCAAATGCACATGCAATTTAATTTAGTCAGTCCTCCTCTAGGAATTTATCCCTATAAATATACTGCCTCATGGGTATAAGAGGATGGGAGGATTCATCACCTCCAAAATAAATATAACCTGAGATCCCTAGTGTGTTTCATACCTCAGTGAAGGCTCAACCATCCATCAGGTTCAACAAGAAGCCTGGTCAATTCTTCCATATCCCTCAGTTTCAACAGCCAATATGCCACCAAGTATCACTGACTGTACATCTAAACCCCACTCAAATGTATTTGCATTTTATTCTCTATTTTTCTGTTAGCCTATTTCCTAATCTAGGCTTTTAGAGTCTCCATTATTACCAGTATCCCTACGTCCAGGGATATTAGCCAGACTGAAGCTAGAATATATCTTCTTAAACTGCAGATTTAATCACATTCATTCACCTGTTTAAAACTTAGTGGCTTTCTGTTGCCCTTAGGTTAAAATCCAGACATTTGATCCATGGTTTTCAAAAAACTTTATCACTTGGTCCTGTCCCTCTCCATCTGATCTCAATATTTTGCTAGGGAGCACAATTTCTAAATACTGTGCTCCTGCCCAGTTGTTGCACGCAGCTCTGGGAGAGGCTGAGTTGCCATTGATGCCATAGGAAGCTGCAGTGTTGGCCAGAGCCTCTCTCGGCTTGCTTTTGAGAACAGAGAGCCTTCTCCTCATAGGGTTCAACAGATTGGCCAAGCAAGCCTGCTGGTTCACCATTGCAAAAAGAGATTCCACCTTAAAGTACTCAGGTACTTAGGAAACTCAACTCAATTGACATCCAGAGGCAAGGAACGATATCAAGTCATTTAAGGAAATGTGGTAGCTTAAAGAAAGGATTTGAAGGAAAAATAAAAGAAAAAAGAATATTTATCTTTGTAGATGTACATACGTGTATACACAAACATATATGATATGAGAAACCTTAAGAACACAACATTAAGAAGGCATGAAAAAGTTTCTGATTGAAATAAAACTTGATTTGAGATTTTAAAAAATCAAAGAAAAAAATTATAAAATGGTCAAAGTAAAAAGCAACTTAGACTGTTCAAATAGAGAGCATATTTCATAATACAGAAAAAAAAATACATAGAAACCATGAATAAAAATATGAAAAACACTAAGACACATAGAGGAGACCTAATATGAGAATAATATGCAGGCTAGAAGCAGTTTTAGAAGAAACAAAAAGTGAAGAAGCCAATATCAAAGAGATTATTTTTTAAAATCCTAAGCTATAATAAAATTTGAATTTTCAGATGTAAAATGATGAGCTCCAAGAAGAATTATTTTTTAAACAGCGCTGCATATATCCTAGAGATCTATTCAAACAAGAGTAATTTAAAATCATATACATTTTCATATATAATAAAGAAGTTTACTTAAAAAAAAAAAGAATCAGACAGGCATCAGGTTTCTCATTTGCAACCTCAGGATTTAAAAGAGAGTGAAAATATTTCTCAGCCATTGAAAGATAAAGACTATGTCCAAGAATGCCATTCTTAAATCAGATTCCGTTAATATTTGAGTCCATGAAGATGTTTATAAGTGTTTATTATCATTTTAAAACATGATAAAGAACTTACATGTCCAACAGAAGTAGAACAGCTAAATAAATTAGAATACATGCATATTATGTATTAATATCCAATACTTTAAAATGATAGAAAAAATCCTTAAAATATACAGTTGAAAGGAAAAATGGGAAAGGAAAACTGGAAATAACCCATGGATAAACAAATTGTGCTATATCTGTACAATGAAAGACTACTCAGCAATAAAAATAAGTTTGAGGTATATACAACATGGATAAATCTTTGTAACAATATACTGAGCAAAGAAGCCAGATGGAAACAAATTACTGTGTAATTTTGTTTATAAAATTCTAGAAAGGCACAATTAATCTATAGTGACAGAAGGCAGAGGAATGATTTCCTGGGGCTGGGGGTAGGAATAGAAAATTGATTGTAGGGAACTTTTGGAGGGTGATGGAAATGTTTTATATCTTGATAATGGTGGCTGTTAACATAGGTGTATACATGTGCCAAAGTCATGGAACTGTATACTTCACAGTACACTGAAAATGTGTATGTTTTAGTGTATATAAATTATACCTCAAGGAAGTTGATTTTTTTTTTTTTTGGAAGTTGATTTTTTAAAAGCTGAGCTAATACATACGTGGGAGTCGATTGCTGAAATTCTAATTAATTGTTACTTGATAATTTTCCAAAAATTTCACATATAGCTCTACATAGCTCTTAGAATATAATAAATGCTAGTTTTAAAAAAGATGGCAGGTTTATCTTTTGCAATATTGTTCCATCATTAAACCCACATCTGTGGAGAATAGTTAAAAACACGGAAAAATGCTCATGGACTCTCTAAGGAGGAAGCCAAACTATATTTACTTTAAGATCCTAATTTAGTAAATACATGGATATGTCCTTCTTTATTCTTGTTTTGATGTTTATCAAATACTTTATGATAAATATGTATTGTTTTATAAGGAGAAAAATGGGTTTTTAAGTAAAATCATGCCACTTAGAGTGAATATTTCCTAACAATATGAAAGCTTTTAAATACCATTGCATTTTGAAAGTTGAATGGTTTCACCTCTGGAGGATTTTAATTCCAGCCATAGTTCTGAAACTTTAACATACATGTTTATTAGTGGGCATTTATTAATATATCATGAGTAACTCGGTGTGGCATTTGTATTATAATTCTGCCTTTGAATGATGTATACATCTATATTTTAAGGGCCTGAAGATGATTAAAAAGCTATAGATGATATACGACAGCTGAGGAATTTTAACCTATATTGCTATTTAGAACCAAAGAGTTAAAATAGGATAGGACTTCACAGACTCTCTAGGTCCATAGTTTCATAGAAGAGAAAACTAAAACCAAATTACCAAGTCAGTTAGAGGCAGGGCAGGTTCCCATGCTGAGAGATCACATATCAGATTTTGCTATGAGATGATAGAGTTTGCCCGTTTGATGATTTCCTTTGAGTTCTCTTCACCTACACTTTCTTTCTTCAAATAATTTATTTCACCACAAATTCAGACAGATCAGTATAAGTTCCTATGTTTAGTTACTCATTAATAAATAAAACAAAAATATTTTATGTACATTTAAGGCTTCTACTTGTGTCTGGTCTTCATTTTCATTAGAAGATGTGTGGATGTCAAGAGAAAAAGTGTTCATACAGACACAGGCAAAAAACCCACAAGAAAGCAAGGAGAAAAAAAATGAAGAAAAAGGGAAATGGCCTAAATGTGGCTTTCAGAGCATAGAAAGAATATTGAATGCTTATTATGTGCCAGGACCATTTTTTTTTTTAAATTTTTTGTTTATTGCGGTAACGTTGGTTTATAACATTGTAAAAATTTCAGGTGTACATCATTGTACTTCTATTTCTGCATGGGCTACATCATGTTCACCACCAAAATACTAATTACAACCCATCACCACACACATGTACCGAATTATCCCTTTCACCCTCCTCCCTCCCCCCTTCCCCTCTGGTAACCACCAATCCAATCTCTGTCCCTATGTGTTTGTTTATTGTTGTTATTATCTACTACTTAATGAAGGAAATCATACGGTATTTGACCTTCTCCCTCTGACTTATTTCACTTTGCATTATACCCTTAATGTCCATCCATGTTGTCACAAATGGCTGGATTTCGTCGTTTCTTATGGCTGAGTAGTATTCCATTGTGTATATATACCACAGCTTCTTTATCCATTCGTCCCTTGATGGGGACTTAGGTTGCTTCCAAGTCTTGGCTATCGTGAATAAGGCTGCAATGAACACAGGGGTGCATGTACCTTTGCAAATTGGTGTTTTCAAGTTCTTTGGATAAATACCCAACAGTGGAATAGCTGGATCATATGGTAGTTCTATCGTTGATTTTTTGAGGAATCTCCATACTGTTTTCCATAGTGGCTGCACCAATTTGCACTCCCACCAGCAGTGTATGAGAGTGCCAGGACCATTTTTAAGGTCTTCAAAACTTTGATTAATACTCTCAACATCCCAGGGAGATGGCTACTAATATTATCACCCTTGTTGTATGAGCAAAGTCATTGAGGCCTAGCATGGGTAAATAACTTTGCCCAAGGCCACACAGCAATGAGTGGTACCCTAATCATATCACTCCAGAGCCGAGTAACTCCCTTACTCATAAACGCTAAACTGTCTTTCAAAACTATAGCTCGTTTGATTTTGGTCAAGTTTAAGCTTCCCTGTTGGGGCACATCAAAAACAAGAGATCAAATACTGGCCAATGACCTTTCTCAACAGTAATTATTTCAGTTAGCATCCATAAAGCTTAATGAGCATCTCCTGTGCGCAAGACCTAGCACCACGTGTGGGTGTGGGAAGGTTTAAGGAAATAACCTTCTTGAAAGGTTTTTGGAAGAGCAGTGTGATAAAAACACAAAGTACTATTGGTTTTAGGATTGTTTTCTCCCACAATTCTATGTCACACAATAATAATCTACCATTAATGATGAACATCTTTATTGCAGTTTAGAAAATCATCTCCACATGTGTGATATTTAATCGTCCTAACAATCCTAAAATGGATTGTATTACTATTACTATTTTTTATTACTCTTGTTATGTTATAGTTTAGAAGTACGGTTCCAAAGGTTCAGCACGCATCAGGTGCACCTGCAGGGACTGTTATCACACAGATCCCTGCACCTATTCCCAATTGTGTAGGTTTGGGGTAGCATCTGAGAATTTGCATTTCTAGAAAGTTCTCGGTAGATGCTGTTGCTGCTGGTTTAGAAAATTCTGACTTAGGAATTCTTGCCCCTCGCCTCGAGCTCCTTCTAAGAGGAAGAAGCAGGTTTTGCATCCAGGTCTCTGTTTCCGGATCTCACGCCCATTCGGGTCTACCGCTGTTTCTCCTCCTCTCCTTTCACCGTGGTCGACCTAGAACAGTCCCCTAAATCGCCCTCCGAAGTCCTCTGTTTTATGTCTCACAAGCGTTTCTGATGAGCCTCTCATAATTGAAAGCGGGATTTGAGTTTGTGGACATGTTTTCCCACTCAATATGGCTCTGTTAACTTTTCAAAGGAAATTTGGGAGAGATTCATGTAATAACTATATGCTTTGAAATATTAATTTAGTTTAAAAAGTCCACCTATAGGGAAGTAATTTTGTTCTTGTATTCCATCTTATGTGGCATTAAGTGTTTGGCTCTTAAGAGTGCAGTGTAAGAACTTCATGTTTTTGAGAAAATATACTACAATTACTAAGTATGGGATGCAGCCTGTTTTATTTAACTATTTTAATCAGATTCTTCATCATTTCTTTAAGTTTGTGGAAAACACTCCAATCATCCCTAATTCAAAGAAAGACAAAGGACAAGATGGAAATTTTACTTTTTGGTTATTTCCTTGTTCTTCCTGTCACTTGTGGCACTTGTGTTTACTCAGAGAATAATGAAAGAGTGGCATTTGGGTAAACTTATTTTTTGTTTTGTTTTTTTACTCTTTTTTTTTTGGTGAGGAAGATTAGCCCTGAGCTAACATCTGTTGCCAATCCTCCTCTTTTTTTTTTTTTTTTTGCTGGGGAAGATTGGCCCTGGGCTAACATCTGTGCCTACCTTCCTCTACTTTATATGTGGGATGTCTGCCAGAGCATGGCTTGATGAGCAGTGCATAGATCCATGCCCGGGATCCAAACCCGTGGACCCCTGGCCACCAAGCAGAGCATGCGAACTTAACCGCTATGGCACCGGCTGGCCCCTTGTTTTTTAAGTTTTTATTTGGCAATAATGTCAAACAGAAAATTTGTGAGACTAGTACAAAGACAACCACATATCCTTTACCTAAATTCACCTATTGTTAACATTTTGCCCCATTTGTTTTATCATTTGCTCTTTCTCTATGTATGTGCAGATGTTATTGTTTTTCCAAACCATTTGAGGGTGAGTTGCACATATTATAGCTCTTTCCACTAAACACTTCAGTGTGCACGTTGATTTGTGGAAATTTCTGCTAAATAGTTGCTGCCTTTTCTTTTCCTAGGAATATGCAATCTATGGGAATATATTAATCTGTGCAAATATCCTGGTCTTCAAGACATTTCCCCTCTTTCTTTAGATTTAGTATTAATGATTTTTCTTGAAGCAGTCTTAACTGTGATGGTTGCAAAATGATGTCTTCAACTCTGCCTCTGTGTTTGACAATTGGCACTTGGCATTTGATGCAAGAATGCCTTCTCTCGTTGATTGATTGATCATCAGTAAGGACTCATGAATTCCTATTTTTTCAAGGATTTATAATTCATTAATCTCAAAATATCCCATATTTGGCTAGTGGAGTCCCTTCAAGATAGCTCCTGTGTCCTTGTGACATATCCCCACAATTGTTTTGGTCACTTCTTAGCTTTCTGATATAAAAGATGTTCCAGGTTCATATTGAATCTTCCTCTGGAATCAGTCTTTCCTCTGAGGAGTCCTGGTTCCTTTCAATAGATAAGGGCATTAGAAATCAATATCTCAGCACTAGACATACAGATACCTATCCTAGAAATCATTAGTCTACAGTAATACCTCCAATTCCAATCCATCAGCATAAAGTTCTTCCTTCATTTTCCCCACTCTATATCTGTAACTCTCTTTTTACATTAACTTGTTTGTTCACTCACTCTTGTAATACATCTAAAATTGTTTCAGAGTTACTTTGTCCGTACCTCTGCCAAAAATAATAACAACACAAAAAATACTAAAAAGAGTTTAGGATTTGTGTTCATTGTATACTCCACCCTACTTGACCCAAGACTAAGGGTATATAGTTGCTTATGGTGTTCATCATTTACTTGAATTAGTCAACGCCCCCCTCCCCGGCCTCAATTTTATTCAATTGAAATGCAGTTGGGTTCATTTATTTCCATTTGCTTTCAGTTTTCAGTTTTGAGATTGTTGCTGTTGTTTGTTTTGTTTTCTTCCATCCTTGTTGATTTAACCATGTTTTTTGAATATGTAGATCTTCTAAAAGTCAAAAACATACAGAAAGATATGTTCAGAGAAGTGTCAATCCTTGCCATATGCCTTCTATCCCATTCTCTCCCCTTCTTGAATGTAACTAGCTTCATTGTTTTCTAGTTTCTCTCTCATGTGTTTCTTTTTTTGGTAAAGACGAGCAGATTTTTAGTATCTTCTTTTTTTGTAGTGATATGCACAAAGCAATTCTGAAACTATTTTAGGTATATGACAGGATTGTGAAATTGGGAACAGAAAAAAAGAACGGTAGTGATGGGGTGAGATTGGAGTTATTGTTACGATGTCATTATTTCCCTTTCTTTAAAAAAATTTCTTTATTGATATATAACTGACGTATAGCATTGTATTAGTTTCAGGTATACAACATAATCATTCAATTTTTGTATGTAGTGTGAAATGATCACCACAGTAAGTCTATTAACACTTGTCACCATACTCAGTTACCAAGTTTTTTTCTTTTGATGAGAACTTTTAAGACCCACTCTCTTAGCAATTTTCAAACATGCAATACAGTATTATTAACTATAGTCACCACGCTATACATTACATCCCCATGATTTATTTATTTTATAACTGGAAGTTTGTTCTCTTTCTCTCTTATACAAAAAGTAGCATACTCTGCATACTCTTTTACGCTGTTTTTTTTCACTGAATGGTACATCTTGGAAGTTATTCCATATCAGTTCATACAGATTGTTTTCATTCATTTTTTATTGCTCCATAGTATTCCATTGTATATGTGTACTATAGTTTTCTCATATGTTTGTATGTGTAGACAGTTTCCAATATTTTGAAATTATAAGTAATGCTGCAATGAATAACCTTGAGAATATGTATTTTCTTGTTGTTGAAGCTATATCTTCTGGGTAAATTCACAGAATTGAGATTTCTGGTTGAAGGATAAACGGATATGATAAGTTTTGTTAAATATTGCCAAATTCTCCAGTAGAGGAACAATACCACTTTGCATTCCTACTAGAAGTGCATATATTGCACTTCCTACTAGAAGACAATATATTGACTTTTGATTTTTTTCTGTTTTGCCAGTTTGATGG